TCCCTCCATGCCCCCCCCCCGTAACGCCCAGGGGTGCCCCTGTAGCTTCCTGTCCCGGCACCCATTCCCCCAGCCCCCGACGCTGGCCATCTGGACCCCCCACCCCTCTACTCACGCCCAGCAGGGAGAGCCCCGAGATCCTTCAATCGCCGAATGGCCGGGCGCTGCGACGGGCACAGCCGTGCCATCCCCGCTCTGGCAGCGAGCGCCACTTGCTGAGCACCCCCTGCCCCCCTCCCTCTCCCCAGAGCGGCGATGGGTCTGTCCCTGGAGCGTGTCCGTCGGGCCAGCTAGCTCTCCGTGCAGCAGTTCCCTGGAAAGGAGGAGGACGGAGGGCCATTGCACGGGGAGCCTGGAGGGCACCGATTCCTCCCCAGCCCTCTCCCCGGCACACACGCGCTCCCCGGTCGCTGCGGGGGGCATGGCGGGGCTCCGGCGCGGCTCTCACCCAGGATGTTGCGCTTGCAGAGAGGGCAGGTCTGCTGCAGGAGGAGCCAGGGGTCCACGCAGTCCCGGTGAAACTCGTGGGAGCAGGGCAGCACCCGCAGCCACTGTGGGGAGGGAAGCGGGTGGCAGACGTGAGCGGAACCGGGCAGGGGTACCGTGACCGTGGTGCCTGAGGGAGGGGGACGATCCTCCGCCACGCAGCTCCCCGGCAGGGACACCCCGGCCCCAGCAAGCGAGGGGAGGCTCAGCCCCGGGCAGCAACATGAGCACGGGTGGCCCCAAGCGGTGACAAGGACGGGATCCAGAGCTCCCAGCACAGCACCAGTCCCCCCCAGGCCCTACCTGGCTCTTGTGGAACTGGTCCAAGCAGACGGCGCAGCTATCGATCTCACAGCCCTGGCTCCGGAGCGGTTTGCCGGGATGGTACCGCCGCGATTTCAGTGCCAACAGCTGCCGCCGAATGTGCTGCTTCAGATCCAGCTGTGAAGGCAGAGCGGAGGGTCAGACCCTGCCCGCCAGTCTCCCCGGCGAGCAGCAGAGCGGAGATGTTCCCACCTCAGCATCCTGCTCCGTCAGGTCTTGCCGCGACTGCCGCTGCGCCTGCACGATCACCCCGGTGCAGAGGAGCAGGGCGATCAGCAGGATGGTGTTCCACAGCTGCTGGAGGTACTTCTGCGGGAAGAGCGCTGGTGGGCAGTCAGGGACCGGGGTGGGGGGCGAACCAGAGACCCCCCTGCTCTGCTCCCGGCCCCACCATCGCTGCTGCCCCCACACTGGGAACCCCCGGCTATGTGAGGAGCCGGCGCTGGCGCACGTACCTGGACCTGCGAGCTGTTCTCCCCTGTGCAGATGACACCCTGCCACTCCCCGTAGAGGCCCCCCCGGGAGAGGCCACAGGTCGACCACAGGGTAAGGGTCACTCCCTGCAAGGCAGGAGACGGCATTGCCGATGGCCGTGACGGCTCACGGCGCTGCCCAAGGCCGGGGGGGCCCCGCCACGCTGGGCGGATTGAGGGGAGGAGGAACCGCAGACGGCTGCCAGCTGCGCCGCTCCCACGGAACAACTCTTTGGGGAAACTGAGGCACCGGTAGCTTCAACAGCCTTTGGGGATCTGGCTCCTGCTCCCTGCAGCTCGGCTTCCCCATTGGCTGGGGAAGTTTGGCTGGGCATGGCCAGCCTGCCAGGAGAGGGAGGAAGAGGACAACCTACGCACCAGGTTCTCCAGCAGCACTGCCTGGTACGTGATCTTCGCCGTAGCCCTGAGCCCCCTGTGGGCAAAAGGCGAGACGAGCGTACATCACAATCCCACGGGCACAGCAGGATCTGGCCCACAGCACCCCAGCACCAGGGAGCACCCCCTTCCTTGTGGGGACAGGCAGCCCACGCTGAGCCGCGGCCGAGGGGGGCCACCGGGGGCGAGGCGCCCCTTCCCCAGACATGCCCAGCCCTCCGAGCGACCCTGCACAGCTCTCTTCCTCCCAGCACCGTGCCTCAGTTTCCCCATCTGCGACACCACAGCAGCAATCCTGATCTACCACGCGGAAGGAGGACCAAAGGGGTCCTAACGCTGTAGATGGTGGGGATAAACACTGGCAAAGGCGGTGGAGATGCTGGTGTCGTGCTGATAACACGCTGGTCTGGCTAATTTATACTGAGGGTCCTGAAGGGCTTGGCCAAGGCCACTGTCAGTCCCTGCTGCTGCGTAGGGACCCGTAGAAGGGCTCAAGGCCCTGAGGAAGGGCTGGATCTGACTCACACCCGCCAGGGAAACACATCTCAGCCCCAGCTGGCCTCCGCACAGTGTGAGCTCGAAACCAGCCCAGCAAACACAATGTGCTGTGGGAGAGGGTCCCCCAGGGCAGCCCCCGGCTGTCACAGCCAGGCAGGGGACCGGGCAGGGGACTGGGCGCAGAGCTACAGTCTCACCCAGCTCCCTCCCACTGCCCCAGTCCATACCGCAGCAGCGCTCCTAGCAGCTTGGTGACGTTGTCCGAGGACTGGATCACGATCACAGGCTTGGCAAGAAGCTGGGAAACGTCCAGCTGCACCGGAGAGGAAAGCAATTGCCATCAGCGGGGCATGAGACCAGCTCGGGGACCCGCTGCCAGGACTCTCCTACCTCCCGGATGGCATTCTGGTTCAGCGCCAGGATGAGCAGGGCTGATGCCCCCAGCACCAGGGCTCGTTTCATCTGCGGAGACAGAGGACACAGGCTCAGAGGGCAGGACAGGCAGGAGGACAGGCAGCTGGGCCGTGCCCTCATTCAGTGCCCGTCCCACTGCAGGGAGCAGGCAGCACCCTGTGCCTCTTTGCCCTGGCTGAAGTACCACAAGGGACCCAAGAGGGGCTGGCACTGCCCGGGAGCCCTGTCCGGGATCCCCCTGCCACCAAACACAGGCCAGGACCCCTCACATCTGGCGAGGAGACACCCCAGGAAGTGCCCTGTGGGCTTGTGACCAGCAAACGCCATAGCAGCCCCTGGTCCAGGTGGAGGTGACCCCGGGCCAGCAGAGTCACCTTGCTGACAACGGCGGCGGTGAAGGACTCCTCCTTGGCGCCCCGGGGGGCCTCGGCTGGCTCCTCGCCCACCGGCACCACGCCGATCCAGCTGTCGGCAGCGCCCAGCTCGGGCTCCGCATCTCCCACCTGGGGTCACAGCAGCGTCAGTGGGGGCGAGAGCCGGGACGGACGCCCAGGGCTCAGGGCACCCCCCAAAGCACCCCCACGTCCCCGGGTGCCCCGGGGAGCCACGCACTGTGTGGGAATGGGGACAGCAACTGGGGTGGCACAGGGGACAGGACCTGGCCCCCGCTCCCCCCCATCCCTGCCTGCACCTCCCCTCTGCTGCTC